AGGCCTCTCTCCTGGGTGGGGCCTGGCATGGCCTGTGTTCCCACGAGGGCCCAGCGCCCGCCGGGAGGGGACCGGCCCGGGGGGAGGTGTGGGGAGGAGCAGCTTGCTTCCTTGCTCTCCGATGGACAGGCCGCCTCCGTCTGCACCTTCGTCGTCTCCTGCGCAGCTCGCCGGCTCCGGCCAGGGCGGCTCAGCTGGGTGGCCTGTGGTTCCCTGCCAGGACCACGTGGGGTCGGGAGGAGGGTGACGGGTTGCTCCTGGTGCGCCGGGACGTGGCGGCTGGGAGAAGTGGGAAGCTGCGTTTGTGTTTTAAACGGGTCCATCCCATTGCATAGGCTGGGCCCATCCCAAGTGTAACCTCATGGTGTCTTCATGGCATGCAGAGGTGGGTATCCAGGGACCCTCGGGCTCTGTCCCTTTGCTGTGGCCCCTCCCTGCGTGGCTTGGGAACCACAGGCACCTCCTTTTTTCCACCCGAGGGGCCAGTGTCACCCAGCTCTCTAGCCACTCTCCGTGATGTCCCTGGCCTCCCACGTCCTCGTGGGTGGGGAGCCGTGCCTCCATCCGTGGGGCTGCGTCGGGGGCACTAGACAGCTGATGGCCATGCTGCCGGGGCTCAGCCAGGAGGGGAGCTGGCGTTGGACCCCGGTGTGGCAGCACCAAGGGGGCGCTCCCCGCTGCCCTTCTGCGTGCTCCTCGTGTCTGGGGTCCTCTTTGCATCTCTGGCCGGAAGTTAGGATCAGGCCAGGGACTTGGAGGGGCACTGCTGGCCTGTGCCTGCCCCCAGGTCTCGCCAGGTGGCCTTGCCGTTGGTTGCAGTGGGGTCATCTGGTTCCTTAGCTGCCCGGCTCCTCCTCTCACCCTGTGTCACCCGTGATGCCAGGAGCCAGGTCGGGGAGGCACGGGGTCCTGGGCTTATGTCCCCGAATCTCCATGTGGGCAGGCTCAGGAAGTAGCCCGGGGATGGAGGAGCCTCAGCTCTGTCATCTGTGCGATGGGCCTGGTCGTTGACCTCATAGGACCACATGGCGTCTCACCCTCGGCAGAGGTTTGAAGGGCTCCTGGCCGTGGCCGACCACCCAGTGCATTTCTTGGTGCTTCTCCAGGAAGCACGGTGAGAGTCTGTTCCTGTGCGGCCGGGGGACCCTGGGTGCGGGTAGTGGGGGACTCCCCCGCAGTCTCCCCTTCCTGTTGCTTCAAACCCCCGTGTCCCTCCACACCTCTTGTCCGTTACTGATGGCGGTCCAGGGCTGAGCCCTGTGAGAGGGTCAGCTGGTAGACTGTTTAAGTTCCAGCTTCTCTCTGGAAGCAGCCTGTGCCTTCCGGTCTCAGAATGTGGCCCTGACCCCCGCCCAGACCGGGAGGCTGACAGACAGCACAGCTGCTGGCGGCGGGGAGCTGGGCGGCACCCTTGGCATCCATCCTCGTCCCTCTGCTGCCCCGACAGGTGGGCGCTGGGGGGATTTCTCGGCCCTCCGGGCGACACGGGGGTTGCCGACTGCGCCTCCCACTGGTGGCCCTGCCGAGGTCCAGCCAAGACTTCGGGGTCGTCGCGGCCCCCGGATTTCCCCTGGACGGAGCACACGGGGCTGCCTGGCCTGTCCCCAGACTCTGGGGCAGTGTCCCCAGGCCCCAGAGGAAGGGAAACGAGCTCTGAGATGCTTGGCCATGTTTGTACATTTTTCCAAAAGAGAAATCCCTTTACACTTCTTTCTTTTTGCAAAAGTAACACGTTCTTAAAAAGAAAAAAAAATCCACCGGTTCAGAACCGCCAGCAGAAAGGGAGAAAGCAGCCTTGGGGCCCGTATGCTGTGGGTGTGAGGGCCTGAGTGCTGGGGACGTCCATCATCTTCCTGCCCCTCGTGGGAGCGTCCCGAGGCGGCGTGGGGCCTTCCGTATTCCCGTCCATGCTCAGCCAGGGTCTGGTTTCCTCGGGGTCGCTGTCGGGTCTGCAGGATTGCGGGAGAGGCAAGGCCAGGCTCTCGCTGCGGCTCCGCTCGCCCCGGACGTGCTGGCCCTGAGGTCTGGGCTCCGTGTGAAGGAGTGAAGGCGGTGCCCCAGCAGGGAGCTGCGTGGCCCCTTTACTCCGCCTGCCATCCCAGAGGGCACAGCGCGGGGTGACCTGTGTGATTGTATGTCCCACCAGAGAGGGTCATGCCCGAGCGCCCCGGCTGTCCCTTGCCAATCTCCTCCCCAGCCACGCAGCCCTTCCCAGGAGATGGATCCTGGCTCCTGGGATGGAAGGGGCTTGGGGAGGGGGGTGCCCCCCAACCTCTCACGCTCTAGCTGCCCTTCCTTCCTTCCTCCCTGTTGAGCTGGTGCCCAGGCTGCCGGGGACAGAGGACAAGCCAGGCGCCTGCCTCCGCCGTGGGGCTGCTATGTGGTACCACCTGATGGGGGACACTGTGACCCCTGCGGTCATCCGTACGTTCCTGCAGGGCTTTGAGTGCATGGGGGGCCCCCCCGCCTCGTTCCAGTGGAGGTGCTGGGGGCAACATTCCTGTTTGCAGAGAGGGGGAGGTCCCATTGCCACGTGCCATCCCCCAGGCCGTGGGGCATCCAGCACCTTTTGCATGTGTCGCCTCTAGACCTCACAGACCCTGCTGGGGTCCCAAGTGTTTCCACACCTCGGGACTCCCTGTGGCCTGGGGTGAACGCTGGCATTCGGTGAGCGTGTGCCGGGCCAGGCCCTGGGCTCAGAGCTTAGCCACGCAGTCTGGGACCCACCCCGCCCCGGCTCTGCCTTGCAGCCAGTGGGTGCTCACCCCACGATGGGGTTGTGTCCTGTGTTTGCTGCGGGGGCCAGCTTCCTGCTCAGCCGTGGGTGTGGGGTATTTGGTGATTGGTCAGAAGAGGGAGGCAGGGCAGAGGCCAGGCCGAGGGTCCTGATGGCAGCCCCAGCACATCCCTGCAGAGAGCTGTGTCCGTCTGTCCTTGTGCTCGGAGGAGGCCGGTGTGCTGTGTCCTGCCCATTTTCTGCTCCCTGGACCGTGCAGCAGCAGCGCTGGGTACTGGGCATCTGCCCACCCGCCCCACATCTGGCGGCCCGCAGTGCACCGGGCTGGCATCTAGGCCCAGGGTGGGGGGGTGGCAGGAACAGGGTGCATCCTTCCTTCACGGATCCCGGGTCCCCCCACGTAGGGAGCCGCCTCAGCCGTCCCGGCAGGACCGTGCGGCAATTGGTACGTGTCCAGCACTGACCTTAGCGCTCTGTGTTGGATCCCTTTAGTCTCACAGAACCCTGTGGGGACACAGGGGGACCAGATCCCATGGCTGGCGAAGGGCAGAACTGGGATTGCGAACAGGAGCCTGGCCCCGGCATCTGCTCTGCACCCCTGAACTGCCCGGGGTCCGGGAGGGTCCGGGAGGCCCTGGCAGGTGGTGGCATTGGGGCAGAGGAGCCAGAGGAGGAGAGGGAGGATGCGGGCCTGCGTAGCCACAGCAGCCAGGACAGGGAGACAAGTCACTGGCCAGAGCAGGACAGGCAGTGCTGGTTTGGACAGGAGCCCCATGTAGGGCAAGGCCATCGAGGGGAGGGCAGGCCCGTGGGAGGTTCGCAGAGACCCCAGCAGGAGGCGGTGGTGCTGGGCCAGAAGGGGTCAGACCTGCTGGGGGTGGGGCTCCAGGGTGAGCACTCAGGCGCCTTTCCGTCGGGTGGTGTGTTGCAGCCTCAGTGCCGCCAGCCTGGCGGGCACGGCCGCCCTCTGTACGGAGCTGCCCTGGGGGCCAGGGCGCTGCCCCAGGTTGGCGAGATGGGGGCGCGTGAGAGGCGCCCGCTCGCCCGGGGAGAGTGTGGAGGAGAGGAGCTGCAGGCCCCCAGGATGATGGGCGGGGGGCCCCTAGGGGTGCTCCAGAGCGCTCCTCCAAGGAAGGGCGGGCAGGCGGGGCAGGTTTGCTTGGTGGCCAGGTGTGCACGGCGTCTGTTTTGAGTCCTCTTCCCTCGTGGTCGGGGGGCGCTGAGCAGGCACTGGCTGGGGTTTAACAAGCCGGCATGGGGGGGCCCTAGTCTGTACCTCGTGCTGATGACCGTGGTGTAAACACGCCCACGTGGCAGAGCAGGCTTCCGGCAGGATGTCCGTCAGCCAGCTCGAGAACTCTCCCAAGTTTTAACGATCTGCTTTCGCATGTCGTAGAGAGCATGTTTCCAGCGGCCGACACGCGCTACTCTGTCCTCCCCGAAGGCTGGCCCCCAGGCGGGCCCTGCCACCCAGCCCAACCCGGCTCAATCCCGTGACAGGTGCACATAAATAACCACCTACGGGGTAGCAGCGTGCACAGATGCCGCCCGGGTCCAGATTTCGTATGCAGCCCCCAGCGCGTTTTGCGTCCTCAAGTGACATTGGGGCCACCGACTTCCTCCCAAGACGTGGTGGGGTTTTGATATTGGGGGCAGCCCCTTCATCCTTTCCTGCACAACATTCCAAGAGTCGGGGTGTGGTCCTACAGCCCCTCACTCGCTGAGGCTGCAGGCTCCCATCGCCTTCTCCCTCCACCCCCACCCCGATTGGCCGAGGGCCGGCCGTGTCCACAGCCCAGCCACCATCACAAACCAGAGCCCGTTCTCACGGTCACGTTAGAACCTCCATCGGTGGCCTCACTCAGAGGGCCCTGGCTCCGTGTGCCACACGTGGTTCCACGCACGTCGTGCCGGGTCCACATCGTAGCTCTCTGCGTGGGGATCAGTCCCTAAAGTGTTGCCACGGTCAAGGGCAGCAGGAGGCTGGTGGGCGGTGAGCCGACAGTGGCCCCCACCTGGACGGCCGCCTCCCCGCCTGCCCAGGTGTCACCTGCTGGCATTCTGTCCCGTCACCTGTGTCTCTCCCTGCCCCAGCCTGAGGGCAGCAGTGGGAGAGTGGTTCTCTGACAGGTGAGGGTTGGCCTGACCGGGGGGAGTGCGCCGACGTGGCCTCACATGACCGCACGGCTGTGCTCGGGGACCCAGATGAGGCGGCGGGGCCTGGGGTGACCGGCCGTTCCCTGCCGTCCCTCCTCCCCCGCAGGTGCTGCCTGACTGGGCCCAGACATGGGATGTCGCACCTCGGCGGGGAGCACAGAGGAAGCCAGGGCCTCGCCGAGCTGCTGCCGTGACGGCCAGTGAGCGAGCAGCCGGAGGATGTCCACCACGACGACGGTCGCCCCTGCGGGGATCCCGGCGGTCCCGGGCCCCGTGAACCCTCCCCCGCCGGAGGTCTCCAGCCCCGCCAAGCCCGGCCGTAAGACCAACCAGCTACAGTACATGCAGAACGTGGTGGTGAAGACGCTCTGGAAACACCAGTTCGCTTGGCCCTTCTACCAGCCCGTGGACGCCATCAAGCTGAACCTGCCCGTGAGTGGCCCCCTACCCGCCGGCCCTGCCCCTCCGCGGCCCCGACTCCTGGGAGGACGGCCCCCCTGGCCTTGGCAGAGATGGTGCCTGGAGGCGGCTGGTCCTGCTAAGGCAGGCACAGCTCAGGACCCACAATGACCAAGGAGCAGAGGGGATACTTAGGCGAGTGGGGGAACGGAGGGCGGCTGCCCAGGGGCAGGAAGCGGGGAGAACCCTTGGCCTGTGGGGGGATGAAGGGGGAGCCGGCGATGGGGCTCAGGCCTAGAGGCTCACCTGTGTCTTCATCCCGTGCCCGGCACTGTCCTGCGGAATGACGCGTGCACACCTGAAACCCTGTGCTCGAGAGGGGTGCGGCCCACTTTCCCAGGGATAGCGCCTCAGCTGCATGCCCGGTGCCGACCTGACCATCTGACGGCTTTCTCTTTTGGACCCCAATAGAGAGCCCCTGAATCCTGCGAGGGGAAGCCCTGGGCTAGCACTTGGCGGCCTGGGTCCTGGGCCAGCTTGGCTTCTGGGCACTGCGGGCCCCCAAGCGAAGTTTGGAATCTGGGGAGGGGTCTCAGCCCCACCTCCAGAGCCTAGAACAGCCCTGGGCTCTGCCCCAGCCCTGCGGGTCTGTGCGTCCACACAGAACCCTGCTTAGGCCAGGGGCTTGGCAGAGATTATGCTGGCCGAGCGCTTGCCCCAGACCTGACGCCCACCTGCCCTCAGGTGAACAGAAACTTGGGTCCAGCCCCAGTACCCAGATCCCTGAGGAGACTGCCCCCTGCACAGTCTCTGTGCTTGGGAGTCGTGAAAGTCGTCATGAATTTGAATCCAACAGTAACACCCCTGAAAATCTCTTTCTTAGGATTATCATAAGATAATAAAAAACCCAATGGATATGGGGACTATTAAGAAGAGACTGGAGAATAATTATTATTGGAGCGCGAGTGAATGTATGCAGGACTTCAACACCATGTTTACAAATTGTTATATTTATAACAAGGTAAGAAAACGGTGTGGCGTGGGCCCTACACGCCCCTGTGAGCTGCCCCTGGCCCGGGGAGGCCTGGGGTGGAGGGCCAGCCTGGGGTTGGCCGGTGCCCGCCGGGCTGGGCTGGGCGCTTTGCAGCAGCTCTCAGACAGGCCCAGGGTGCATCCCAGCCTCGCGCTCAGCCCTTGTCTGGCCGCGATCCCCTTGTGTGGGTCCCACAGGCTACGCGTTTGAGCGGTTGCCTTGTGTGTGGACCGCCCCGCCCGGCCCCGGCCCCGTCCCCTGCTCCAAGGAGGGAACATTAGAACAGCCTTTTCGGAGGGCGTCGATATATACCAGACGCTTTAAAACGTCCACACGCTTGGACCTTTTTTCCTCCGTGGGATGGGATAAAGGGTGGTTTTTATCCTTTGTGGTTTTTGAATTCTTCCAAGAGTTTCCACGTTAAAATATATTCTTTTTGCCTCCCTCCTGCCCCGCCACATCCCTTCACAGCTTGCTAAATAAATGTTTTTCTTGAGCAACCACCATGTGTTTGTCTGCTGCAGACACACGGCTCCTTTCCAGCAGGTAACCTTGCCTCTCCTGTGTCTTCAGCCCACAGATGACATAGTGCTCATGGCCCAAGCCTTAGAGAAAATTTTTCTGCAGAAAGTGGCCCAGATGCCCCAGGAGGAAGTTGAGTTATTACCCCCTGCTCCAAAGGGCAAAGGCCGGAAGCCAGCTTCGGGAACCCAGAGTGCAGGTAAAGGGGTGGACGTGCAGTCCTCTCCACCTCTGGCAGGTGGGCAGGGTGCCGATGACAGCGTGTCTTCTGAGGGTCCCTCCGCCCCTCTGGGCTCAGTTTTCCTGACCCAATCTGCAAGGTTGGGTCAGTGATGATCGGAGCTCCGGGAACCGGGCCTCTGCTGTGTGTGGCCTGCAGGCCCGGTGACCTTGCTGCCGCCTGCCTCGGAGCCTCGCTCCGGGCAGGGATCGTGCTCCTGCTGTGTCCCCGCGCTGCTCCTCTCCCACCCGCCTCACCCCCCAGCTCTGAGGACACCTCTTCTGGAAGCCACGTTGTCCCTTTGTCCCCTCCGAGGACTTTGCCTCTTCAGCACACTTTGTGTTCTCTGTGGCCTGTCAGGGAGCGGTGGGGATTAGGGTCAGCACGGGGGGTGACCTTACCTGGTCCGGGCACCTGGAGCGGAGGTGCACCCCGATGGTGAGCTTCCTGGGCAGCCCAGCCCTCCAGAGAGGCCAGGGTGTTTCACACTTACAGACGGGGCTGAGGCTGGTTACCTGTGGAACCCGAGTCAACCCCCTGGCTCTTCCTTACCGGGCTGTGCACCTTGTCCTGGCTCGCTCATTCGGACCACGGAGGCAGCCACGATGAGGGCAAGGGTCTCGACAGGAGGGGCTCTGCTGGCACCCGGCGGGCCCTGGCTGGAGGGGATGGTCCCGGCAGCGTCCAGAAGCATCGCTGGTAGAGCCGGGTCAGTTCAGCCTCCTTTCCTTTGTCCTCAAGGTACGCAGCAAGTGGCGGCCGTGTCCTCTGTCTCCCCGGCAACCCCCTTCCAGAGCGTCCCCCCCACGGTCTCCCAGACGCCCGTCATTGCTGCCACCCCTGTGCCAACCATCACTGCAAACGTCACGTCGGCCCCTGTCCCCCCGGCTGCCGCCCCGCCCCCTCCCGCGACGCCCATCATCCCTGTGGTCCCTCCCACGCCGCCCGTTGTCAAGGTGAGCTTCCCCCGGGGGCGGGCGTACTGGAGGCAGGCAGGTGTGGGGCGGGCAGGAGGGCGCTCCGCCGCTTTCCCCTGGCACCGACCGCTTGTCGGGCGTTGGGCCTATGTGACTTTGGACGGGTCCCCTCCCCCGCCACGCCCGTGAGGTGGGCCGCGGTTCCTGACACCGACAAGGAGACCGAGGCTCGGAGCGGCAGGTCACACAGCTGGTGAGGGCGGCTGCGCTTGAGCCCCAGCTTCGCCGGCCTTTGCAGGGCATGGGCCGAGGTGGGGGGTGCAGAAAGGAGGGGGGTCCCGGCCCTCGCCGCCCGCGCTTGCGCCCGGATTGCCTTGGCGTGGGGAGGGCGATGGCGGCCTCCGCCTGCTCCTCACGCCCCCGTGAGTGTGCGCGCGTCCCTCCCCCGGCTCCCTGCGGGCTTTCCACGGCCGGGCCTGGGCTCGGAGCGGGCGCCCCCCCGCGAGATCCGGGGGCCAGCGAGGACGGCTGAGTCTCCTGCTCTGAGCGGGCCCCCGTGCCGGCCACTGATGTGTATCGTCTTCTCCGATTTGACCCTCACAGCGAGCGACCCTCTGGGGCAGGCAGTATTTCCCCCATCTTACAGATGAGGAAGCAGGCGCTCAGAGGGGTTAAATGGCTCCCCCAAGGTAAAACGCCATCTCCGTCGCTTTCCTCTCCCCCGTGGCCTTCACTGCCTGTACTCGGGCGGCGCCTGGCCCGGCCGCCCCACTCAGCGCCCGGCTGTCTTGGAGCATGTCCTGTCTGCCATGGCCCAATGAGCCCCCGGGCCCCGTGGCACATGCTTGGCCTCCGTGGGCGCCCGTGAAGTGTGTGTGGGTGGCTGGCTCGTGCCCGCCAGCCTGGGGGCAGCGGCTTGGCTGGGGCGGCGACTTTGGTGGCACTCAGACAGCAGACCCCCGTGAGGCCGGCGGCCCAGGTGCGCCTGGCTCCCAGGGGCTGCTCCGCCCGCCTGAGCTGAGGGGAGGGGAGCCCCCTGGGCTGGCCTCGGGGTCACAGCGACCCTGGCCACCCAGCCACGAAACACGCTCTCACGCACTGGACACACCCACCAAGTGCTCGTTGGTCATTTCAGTGTTTCCTCCCCCGGTGGGAAGTAGCTCTGTGACATCTGCTCCCCTCAGGGTCAAGTCCCCCCCCCCCCCCGCGCCTAGCCCCCCCCCCCCCCCCCGGAGTCCTTGGTCCCCAACCTCGTGCTGCTGCTTGTGTTTCCCGGCTGGGCCGCTGCCCCCGCCCCGCCCCCCGCATGCTCCTCCCGCCCCCCTGGTCCCGTGGCTGCCACTGTCCTGGGAGCGCCAGCTTTGAGGCCCGCGTCTGGGACGCCCCTCTGGCCTTTGACCAGCGGGGGTTCTCTCGTCCCTGCTGTCCCCAAGCCCCAGTCCCACTTGGTGACGGTCCCAGTCACGGTGCCACCTCGGTTGTGCGAGTCCCTGAGCCGCGGCCCAGCCCCAGGCGCGGGTGGGCTGCGTGCCGCATCTCACGCCGCTCGGGGTGGTGAGCGCCCACCGTGACCGCGCGGGGCCTGGGGTCTTGGCGGGTGGGTGGGGCTCAGGGATGGCCCGGGGGTAGGTTCGGAGTCCAGCCTCACCACCGCCAGCTGTGTGACCTCGGGCCGGCAACGTGGCCCCTCTGAGCCTCGGCGTCCTGCGTGGCGCGGGGCCCCGGGAGGATGGCCGCGACCATGCATGTCCTTGCTTCGCTCGGTGCCTGGCGGCTGGTCCGCGCTCCAGGGGCGCCACCGCAGCGGTTCTGATCCCGGATCCCGGGGCTCACTGTTGTTTTGCTGTCGCAGAAGAAGGGCGTGAAGCGGAAGGCAGACACTACCACGCCCACGACGTCCGCCATCACCGCCAGCCGCAGTGAGTCGCCCCCGCCGCTGTCGGACCCCAAGCAGGCCAAGGTGGTGGCACGGCGGGAGAGCGGGGGCCGCCCCATCAAGCCGCCCAAGAAGGACCTGGAGGACGGCGAGGTGCCCCAGCACGCAGGCAAGAAGGGCCGGCTCTCGGAGCACCTGCGGCACTGCGACAGCATCCTCAAGGAGATGCTGTCCAAGAAGCACGCAGCCTACGCCTGGCCCTTCTACAAGCCGGTGGATGCCGAGGCCCTGGAGCTGCATGACTACCACGACATCATCAAGCACCCGATGGACCTGAGCACCGTCAAGGTAGGTGGGTGGTGAGCCAGCCGGGCCCCCTTTCCCTGTCTGGGCGGCCCCTGGCACCTGCAGGGCGGCCTGACGTCCCGAGGGTCTGTCGTGGTGCTGATGTCTTGTGCCAGCCCGGGGGCAATGCAGCAGGTTTGGGGCATTGCCCGGCTCCTTTGGCCTGCCCTCCAGCGGCAGACGGGGCCTCAGGGATGGCCCGGGGCCCTGGCGTGGGTCTGGCAGGGTCAGGGAGGAAGGTGTGCTCTGCCCTACGCTCACGCTCACTGGACCGGCAGCTTCCTCGTCATCTATCCCTCTTGAGCCGGTTTCGTCATCTCGTTCATTTTCATCCCGGCGCGTTTGCAGGTCTTTGTAATAACGTTAGGCAAGGTGGCCCTTTCCCGTGGCCCAGCCCCTCCCTGGACAGAAGTGGGCACTGGACGGGGCGGTGGCAGAGCTGAGACCGGGAGCCCCGGCCTCCCGATTCCCGCAGCAGGGTCTTCCTGCGCTCGCGGCTTCCCCCTTGGCTTTTGTGGGTTTTCCTCCGGGTCAGGTCAGTTGTGTACAAGCAGGGAAGAGCAGGTCTGGGCCAGGCAGAGATGGAGAAAATTCCCCGGCTGGCAGCGGCAGCCTCGAGGGCAGGAGACCTGGGGTCTTCCCAGAGTGCGTGCGGGAGGGGTTCCTGAGCCCCCGTCGGGCTTGGGCCCCAGCACAGCTGCCCTTCCTCGGTCTGGATCGGTCTCTGACGGTCTGAGGAACGTCCCTGGCCGTTGGACCGTTACCTGGAAAGGTAACCCCACAAAAGGGGCAGGTGGTTTCTTTGCACCGATGGGGTCTGGGCCCTGAGCCACTGGGCTCAGTCACTCTGCCTCGTGTACCTGGACACTGCCTCGTGTATACCTGTCTGGGGCAGACTCTCTCTCCTTAATGGAAGTCTTCCTCCCCGCCAAGGGACAGGACAGACCTGGCCATCTAGGGCAGTGGTTCCCGGGGAGCTGGCCGAGTCAGGCGGGTCTGGCTGGGCTGCGTGACCGAGCAGCTTCCTCACCTTCTCTGATCTTCGTCCTAACTGCGAGGGCAGGGCTCCGGCCTTCTTGGACTCGCTCAGTGCTGCAGTGGCCCTGCTCCTCCTGGGAGCCCAGGAGTGTCAGCTACTTTTCTTTGACTGATTTTTTTCTTTTAATTTGTGTAAGATAGGAACAGAGGGTGAAAAATCCAAGCAAAGCAGAGGTGGGTGGAGAGAAGACCTAATCTCTGGTATCGTTGCCACCCTTTCCAGATATCTTTCCAGCTAATGGTTTGGTTACATCTTTCTGGATTAGCTCCTGGCTCAGGCTGGCTCTTTCCAAGCAGGTTTTGACTGTGGGGCAGTGGTACTTGGGCTCCCAGATGCACCAGGAAAGTGGCCGGCTGTCAAATTAGGGCCGGAGTCTGAGAATCTTGCAGAAGTTGAGAGGGTCTCGGGTGCCCATATCTCCTTCCTGGCTGAGCTACCCCAGACTGGGGAGGCTGTGCAGAGGGCTGGAGCCAGGCAGCCCCAGTGCTGTGGGAAGCTCTCCGGGGGGGTAGAGGAGGACGGTGTGTCCTAGGCTGTAGAGGCTGCAGGTCCTGGAGTCTGACCACCACCAACCCCTCTGTCGAGGCCAGGACTTTGTTAGTCTAGGTGCCGGCGAGGTAGGTGGTTAGGCTCCAGCCCACAGTGTCCCACTGCAGCAGAGCATGGCCCCCAGGATGAGCGGGCACCTCATACCCCCGACACGCGGTCCCTGACTGACGAGCTCATATCTGTGTGAACCCATCAGGCGTGGGGAGCTCTCTCCCTCGAGAGCCGTTGCCCCGTCTGCCCCGATCTTAGCTGCCACTTTGTGGTCCCTGGCTGGCTGCACTTCTGTCCCCACCTGCAGAGCCAGTCATCCCGTGCTCCCGGCGGGGCAGTGGGACGACCTGGTGCTCTGTGAAGCAGGCTAGCTAACAGGACCTGGATTCTCAGGGTAGAAAATTAAACGTCTCATGCTGAGAACTGAGTAGCCCCCTAAACTGGTAGAGAGCGGCTTTTCGCCAGAAGTTGCTTGCTCCCCACCGGAGCTCCTGCCAACAGGGGTGTCGGCGTGTGAAAAGTTAGCCAAAACGTAGAGCTGGGGACTTTGGTTGCGGGAGCTGGGACTTTGGGGAGCACCTTTTTCTTTCTCCCTGAGTGTCAGCCTCTCTGTGGGGTCCTGGGCCCTCCCCTCCAAGCCCTCGGGGCCACGCTTCCACCTTCTCCCTGGGCTCCCAGACGACGTCTCGGGCTGGCGGTGGACGTGCGGAGGGTCCCGAGGCACAGCGGTGCCCTCACGCCCCGTGGCTTGTGTGTTACAGAAGAAGATGGACAGCCGTGAGTACCCAGATGCACAGGGCTTTGCAGCCGACATCCGGTTGATGTTCTCCAACTGTTACAAGTACAACCCCCCCGACCACGAGGTGGTGGCCATGGCCAGGAAGCTGCAGGTAACGCCAGGTGCTCTGTGTGGGGAGGGGCCACCTGGGCACAGGTGGGATTAGCCGCTCAGGGCAGGCACCCGGGAAAGACATGGGTGTCTGGGAGGGCATGTCTCCCGGGGGAGGTGCGGGGTTGAGGGGCGGGGTGTCTGGGGACCTCGTCCACGGGCATGTTTCCCCTGAGCGGCGGCCGAGTGGCGGCCAGGCCCCGAGCCTGCTCCCCAGGGACGTGGTGGCCAAGAGGCCAGTTTCTGCCTCCTGGGAGCTGCAGGCTCAGGTGGGCAGCGGCAAGCAGGTGGGGGCCAGCGGGTGTTCTAGCCAGGGTGGAGACGGAGAGAAGGCAGACGCCTGCTGCCCTGCACTTAACCGCGTGCCGGGGGCCCCTCGTCAGGAGCCTGCTGGTGCGGCCCGTGGGCGTCGTAGCGGGGGACGGCTGTTTGTGTAGCCTGTTGCTTTCCCGACCACAAGGCGGACGGCACGTGGGAGAAGCGGGCCTGCAGGGAAGCGCAGTCTGGCCTTCAGTGGTGGGACTTTGCGTACATGCACACGGATCTCACAGGCCGAGTGTGCGCACACCCCTGTATGTGATTATCTGTCAGAGCCTGAGGGCTGCCCGTAGGCCAGTACACCGAGCCTGTTCTTATCTCTCTTTGACATCACGTAGCCTGTTGCTTTTGTAAATACAGGACCCAGAATGTTGTCCTGTAAGACTTTCCCAGTCCCTTGCTCAGAATCCTTTTGAAAACCCGGTACGGTAACTCGGGAGCATCCTTGGTCACCCAGGCCCCGGATGGGGCCTCAGGGGGAGCCTCCTTCAGGCCTCTGGGTGCCTGCCTTAATCTTCCTTACCTTCCTCCTGCCTGTGGGCCCTGGCTGCTGCGGGCTGCCCCCTCTGTGCACTGGCTCCCACTGGGGAGTGTGGTAGAGCGGTCCTGGTGGTCCCAGTACACCCAGAGGAAGCCACCGGGACCCACGGTTTCATACCAAGACCATGAAGCCGAAAGGCTCTGCAAAGCCCCGTGCTGTCGTTGCTCTGTTGATGCTCCTAAACCTTGCGAGTAGCTCCACGAGGAAGCCAGGTGGCGCTGGCAGCAGACGGGCCGAGGGCAGCGGCTCTGATTCTGTTCCAGAAAAGGTGGCCTCTGCGGTGCGGCCACGGAGGTTGGGCACCTTAATCACCGATGCCTGTTCAGTAATTGGCTGTTGGTTGTGTCAAGTCAGGCTGGGTGGGGTTAGAGCATGCCGCTGCAGCAGCCTGAGGTAGACCCACCCA